ATAATATTTAATAACTTTATTTTATAGATATGTGAATTCTGCCGCCGTGTACTTTCGTACATGCCAGTCTTCTAAGTCATGAATTAATTATTTTTGTTACCCAATAGATGTCAGAGTTTTTTTGCCCGACTGTCAAATTTAGCTTAATTTATTGATTTCTCTGCCCATGTTAAATGAAGTATTTTAGCTTTGCAAAATAATCCGGTAGATGCCACAATTTTACTAAAAGCTTTCCGGTTTAAATTACAGTCAACCTGGGAGTCGCCATGACCGACTAGTGCAACCGCATTCGTATTGAATTAAAAAGAATTGCAGGAAAGATAACTTATAAAATACATTTGTTGTGAAACTTGGAAAATGTCTATTTCAGGCACTTGTGGGGTTTATCTGCTAAAATAGTTGAGCTTGGGGGGGCGGGGGGGGAGTCCAACTGGGTTATTTTGTGGCTGCATTTTTGCAATCTCTTTGAGCTGCAACTTGGTATTTTGACCCCTCAGTCAAAGTGGGACAAGGCGTACCGTCACCTGTGTTGTGTTGTTGGTGTGGCTAAATTAACCACATCCCATCTGATGCCCCTTTTTATATCTGTTCTTTCAATATATTTCACCCCTTTCCTACAAAAGGCTGGCTGAGTGTGATTGGAATTGCAGTCCAAATCTACGTGACCGCATGTGTATATGTACATACAAACATACCCCTACAATTAAACGCAAAAACTACATTTAAACATAAATAACAAGAAAAAGGAAACTCAAAAGGCTGGAAAGTGGGAGGGGAGGAAAAGACACTCCCGTATCCCACTGCCGAGCCTCCAGAGTATAGAGGTCACCTGGACTGGTAAAAGGGGGTAACCCTGGAAATTGTAGAAAAAAGGAAGAAAAAAACCCAAAAAGGGATGTCTTATATAAAGACCGCCCAGAGGGTAAATACCCAGTCCAATCTCAACAGTAGTGTAGTTGCCAAAAAATAAAAAAGCCTTTATTGAAATCTATTAAAAACCTGGGTAATCAGTGATGGACAGAATAATATAGGGAGAAATATGTATGGTAGGAACAAGGCTAATCAAGAGCCAACCCTCACAAGAAACGGAGAGGGGATAGAAGGCAATATGTACCCCCATACATAACTCAGGTAACAAAGCAGTAGGAAAGAACAGGGAAAGGGAGAAACACACACTCCCAACCAAATTATTTTTTGGCAACTACACTACTGTTGAGATTGGACTGGGTATTTACCCTCTGGGCGGTCTTTATATAAGACATCCCTTTTTGGTTTTTTTTCTTCCTTTTTTCTACATTTAAACATATCCCTTTATGAAAACACTAAAATTATATACAAACACCGCTTCATTCAAACATCAACACTACACACAAAGCCCACCCCTTTATTCAAACGTAAACACTACACACAAAGCACACCCCTTTATTCAAACGTAAAACTACACACAAAGCACACCCCTTTATTCAAACGTAAAACTACACACAAAGCACACCCCTTTATTCAAACGTAAAACTACACACAAAGCACACCCCTTTATTCAAACGTAAACACTACACACAAGCACACCTATGCATTCCAATGGCAACAGTTCATACAAATACACCCGTACCTGCACACACATACTCTATACAAACAGGCTTACATTCAAACACACAAACACTGCTCACAAATACATTCCAGCAAGGATGTGCGTATGGTAAATACCCAACTGCAATAGCATTGGGGGAGTTCTACAAATAGAGATCTACCTTGTGGCTACCCTTGGGCTAGAGAGGGCCCAAACAAATTCTCACGCCAGGGCCATATCTACATTTATTCTATAGTGCTTTGCACCAATGGCAGCACTAGTTAGTATTGTCAGAAACCTCCTGCATATGTTTCACGCTGCACAAGCACGTCAAATGGTGGCTGGACCCCACAAAACCAATCAGGAACAACGGAAAGGGAGACCCAAAATCACGACTGTCCTATGGGTTCTGAGACAGCTGGAGCGGTATGGGATGCAGGACTACAAAATAATTATTTATTAAAATAAACCTGCCACAAATATATTTTTCAGGCGATAGACGCACAAAAAAAGCGTGTGTGTGGGTTTTTTTTACGGACCATGGGTTAGAGATGCTTTTTCTTTTCGTTATTCTGTTTAAGGGTAGCGCTGTGGATTGATAATGTGTATTGAATTCCGTGGCATTCTGTAGGTGAAATTGATAAATGGCTGAGTTTTTCATGTAAAGTACTGACACAGTTTGATTACATGTAGACCCGAATCCCACTTCCATTTTTGGATTAATATCTGGGTTCCTCTGGTCAGGTAGCACCTGGCATCTCACTCACGAGGCCCCGGTTTAATTGATGCAGATTCCTTAATCAGGACTAGTCCAGGCTCTTGTTGCCATAGTAACACATTGTTTGCTCTGCTATGTCGATACAATCCGTACCATATTTTATTTCATATTATTCTGGGCAAAGTGTTAGTACAAACAAATTGTATATTTTGAGAAATGCATATTGTGTACAATACCTTTAATGTAAGCCCATGGGATAACACTCAGAGAATAGTACATGCATGTACACACACAGCATGACAAAAGGGACACTCTCTCCCTTTATCTTACATTTCAATGTAGTTGATTATTTTATTGGGTATTTTAATGTTTGTTTGGAAGTGAAAATATGTATATGACCTCATATCTCAGTGCCCTGTTTTTTAGTATACAATGGAGGTATATGACATCACACCAACTTTCTGCTTTGCCACACAATGACATCATTTCCCAGCTCTCTGTTTTAGCATACAGTGAATGTCGTGTCTGTGACATCATCATATCCCAGCTTTCTGCATAACTGCACTGTGACATCATATCTCAGCTTTGTGCTGTAGGACACTATACAGATCTGTGACATCACACCAAATCCTGGCTTTCTCCTTTAGCACATAATAAATAATTTGTGATGTCACATCTGAGCTTTTTTCTTAGCACACAATAGTTCTGACATCTTATCCCTGCTCTCTTCTTTTGCACAGAATTAAGATCTGTGACATCATAACTACACTCTGTTCAGCGTGCAATAAAGATCTGTAACATAGTATGCTGACAGTTTACCTCAGCACAGATATCTGTGACTTCAGCACATTACACCAGTCTGTGACAACATGTTTGTATTTCTCCTATACGAATGTATCAGAATATCAGTCCTGCTTAGACTTGCACACTTTGGGAAAGTCCAGTTCAGCCTAATCATTTTCCCCAATGCTCAGTCATGTGACGGTTCAGTTCAAGTTCAACTGAATATCGTTAGTGGGAAAATATGTGGGGAAACATTTGGACAATCCAAAAAGGGTGCAAAAACCGTCCAAGCAGTGTACTGCAAAAATATACGCATTGCATAAATATATATATTAATTATACAGAACACCGATTCCCACCGATTGGTTCACAGATCAAAGAGAAAAAGTAACCAACACAGTTAATCACAGCACAAGCACTGCTGCAGGCGGCAAGTGAAGTTTAATAGCAATTGGTCCGATAACAGTAGAAACTGACCCAACATGGCCGCTCAGCCAGATAGTATAAGAGTTTCTCAAAAAAATTTAAATAAATATATAAATATCATTACGTTTAATTAAATGTAATAAACTTTAAAAACAAACAAAAAAAAAACAGAAGAGGAAATTTAATCACAGCTGTCTTTTAACGACTGCTAATACACAGCCATACTGTCTTGTCTTGCTACCCTGTCCCATCGTAGGGTTCTATCGCCAACATTCTACATCTTTCCGAGTATGTGATTCTACCCGTGTAACATCCAGTGCAGATCCGTTCACTTCCCAGCATGCTTTGCGGTTAGACCAAGGAGCTGACACATGAAATCGTATCCCACCATATTCTTATACTCCAGGCCTTGAGGGAGCGGATAGTAGATATTTCTGGTATACTGCCATACCACCAGAAATTTAGGGGTTTTCATGAACATTCTTCAAATATGGTCCTTATGTCACATCGGTACTTTGCTAACGTGAGGAAAACCTGCCTTGGTAAATGGTTATTTACTTAAGTTAGCATTGCTGGGGGTTCAAAGGGAATTGGAGAAGTATTTTCGAACACAACTATTTTGGCCTAAATTTTCAAATTCTATTCTGGAATCAGAATAAATTTGGAATCCCTCACTTTAGTGACTAACCCAAAGGTTGGGAACATATGTAGCAAAAGCACTGCTGTCCTTTATGAAATAGGCCCCGGCTCTATCCTAATCGCCTCTTAAATCAACTGTAATACTGTGTAAAAATGCCTGCCAAGCCTTCTCGCCATTTGTAGAGAGAATCCGAGTTCTTTAGGAGTTTGGCACGGAACAGAAGATCTAGCAGCTGGAGGAAGAGCTTCTTTACCCTGTGGCATAAACATCTTGCAGAATCCATCTCCCCTCGGATCTGAACGCGGAATGAGCTTCTGCAAATTCTCCTTTCTACCTCCTGAGCGTTCTCTATATTTAATGTCTTCTTTTATGGCAGGAGTTAATTATTCATAATTAACAAGAAGTAATAATATTAGTATGCTTTGAAGGACGACCTGCATTGAAGCAGGATTACAGCACGGGGAATCTATTTTTGCCGGTTGCCCTGGATACGGAAGGTTTATTTACACATGATTCCGTTGCGGTTGTGTAAGAATGTTGTTCGCTTGACACAAGCTATATTTAGGAGAGATTTCTAAAGAATAAATCTTATGCTGTCCTAGTCTCCACAATGGGGTTTATGTACTAACTCCTAAATATAGTGAATCAAAAATGGAATTGTAAAATGTAGACTAAAACGGCAGCTTTGGTGAAATTTGTCTCCTTTGATTGCATATACAAGTGAACATTTTACCCCCCGTCCTAATCTTAATTTACACAATGGGTTAACACCTGCTTCCCGTTCAATAGCTCTGGGGTAGTGATGTCGCGAACTGTCCGAACTTGCCGCGAACGGTTCGCCGCGGTTCGCCACGAACTGTTCGCAGCGAACTCCGGTCAGCTGACACATCCCTGCCAATCTCCGGCAGACCCTCCCTCCCAGACCCTCCTACTTTCTGTACAGCAACCATGTTGAAGGCAGGTGGGAGGATCTGGGAGGGAGGGTCTGCCGGAGATTGGCAGGGATGTGTCAGCTGACCGGGGTTCGCGGCGAACGGTTCGTGGCGAACCGGTCGCGGCAAGTTCGGACGGTTTGCGACATCACTACTCTGGGGCTTTTCACCTGTGACTTTTTCAGCATAAATGGACTCTTTTTAGAGTAACCGTCTACCCCTCTTAGGGAATTATTTTGTCCGGTTTGCTACCTGGTTCCCTCCTTGGTTATTTAGTACCATAAAAATCTCTCATCGCTGCTTTCTCTTCATAGCAAGCGATTTCTAAAGCCAACATATTTGCATTCATACTGACTTTGTCATATTTTTGTTTATGCTGTGATGTCAGATTATAAAAATAAAAAAGTTCAAATATTAGACCCAGCTTGCCCCTCTCCAGTGGAGGCGGTAAATCTCGATCCGATAAATCCACAAACTCTTCATCTTCTTTTCTTCCTTCACAGGAACGGAAGGGATTATTTTGTTTCTTGTATTAACCCTTCGGAGCAAAAAAATAAATATATATAATATACACAATTTATATAAAAAAAGATAAATGCTAATAACAACATTCAACGAAAACACTAAACATATTTTAAAAGTGATTTCTTCCTTGTATCTGCCTGGGAAAAGTAAAGATTTAAAAACTGACAAATGGTGTATATATAAAAATATCAAGATCTCACCCAGAACTTTTTCAAATGATTCTATTTGGCACGCGCCCTATAAGAGTGAAAGAAGTAAGAATTTCCACTGTAAAAGCAAAACTTTCAGAATCCTTCATTTCCAACATGTTAAAATGGAAAACCTGTGTATTTAATAGTCGGCTGCTTTTATAGCATCTGTTGAAGAAATCGTGAACACCGATTTTACAAACTTTAGGCAAAAATATCAGAACCCCTTCCCAGATGATCTCTTTAAACGATCACACCCAGTTTGGAGATGAAAGTCTCAAAAAGGAATTTCCATCGCGCAGAATGAATGATATAGAAATATTTTATTCCCACACTTTTTTAATAGAAATATCTGGCCTTTCTATTCAATAAACCGCTGTTTCAAAAGTCAAACAATTTGCAAATGTTTTACAAATAGAACCGCACAATGTCACATAGTGGCGACGCGTTTCTGTCCCGTAGGGTTACAGCTTCATGATTTGTGTTAATATTCTTTTGCCTGAACACGGTGTGAGTAATTAGTCCATCGCTAATAATCTAATTTAATTGAAATAGTGATTCTTGCGTGGTACAGGTGGGATCGTATAGCCTCCCGCAGTGTTACCACACCGGGTTAATTGACAACCAAAAATGAACAAGCGGCTTCTGAACTTATGTCATTTTTTTTTAATCTCCGCTTAACATATTAACCCACCATCTCCTGCAAGCTTTTCACACCGTCCCTTCTGTTACAATCCCCATTTATTGTTAAGATTCTGTTCACACTTTGTGATTCTTTTTATAGCAAATCTCAGACTCTTTAAAAAATTGATTTTTTTTTAGTCTCTTGGCAATCATGCCACCCACTTCCTAGCAGTTGTTTGCGCAGATACCAAATGACCCGGAGTTGGTGGCAGAGCGCCACTTTGGAAATTAAACCCCATCATGTGATGGCATTGTATAATGTTTCATGGTGGCGTATGTTAAAAGGAAGATTGCTGGCCATTACAGCCTGAAAAATATGCTTTTTTTCTAATGTAAAGTGTCCCATACTCTGCTCAAACTCTGTGTGGCCCCTCATTTTGTCAGATGTTACAGCCTTAGCAAGAGAAATTCTGATCGGCTTTATTAAGTAAAGTGAGAATTCAAAGTGAATTTTAAATTTAAGACCAAGATAGCCAAAATGAAAAAATTGAACACACACAAAACTCAGCCTCCCCTACACATACACAACTGTCAACCAAAACACACAAACACACCCAGACTCCCCCATACAGACACAATCACACTCACAATACTCAGCCTCCCCCATACAGACACAATCACACTCACAAAACTCAGCCTCCCCTACACATACACAATTCAACCAGCACACACAAACACACTCAGCCTCCCCCCATACATACACAATCACACTCACAAAACTCAGCCTCCCCTACACATACACAATTCAACCAACACACACAAACACACTCAGCCTCCCCCCATACAGACACAATCACACTCACACAACTCAGCCTCCCCTACACATACACAACTGTCAACCAGCACACACAAACACACTCAGCCTCCCCCCATACAGACACAATAACACTCACACAACTTAGCCTCCCCTACACATACACAACTGTCAACCAGCACACACAAACACACAGCCTCCCCCCATACATACACAATCACACTCACACAACTCAGCCTCCCCTACACATACACAACTGTCAACCAGCACACACAAACACACTCAGCC